CATGGAAAAACAGCTGGAAATGGATGAGTAACAAATTTGCCCTCAACTACAAAAAAATATTTCTGAGTTCTAATGATTATTTACAGTGGTTGTTTACATTAATTAGAATATTTTATTTACAAGAGTTCCTTCGTGATTTTTTTCTTTTTTTTAGAACTACCGTCTCCTTTACTATCATAACTTAGTGCTTTTATTGCTTTTTTAAGTTTGTATTTGATCACTGATTCTAGAGCGGGATCGAACATGGGGTTTCCCCATTTCACTTGCATATACCAGAACCAAATTTCGTATATGACGTTAATGTTTATCCAATTTCTCAAGTAAATGTTGCCTGTATAGTAATCTGAAAACATATCATTCAGGTTTTCGGGTATTTTAAGTTTTGCTGAAGGGGCTACTAAGTCTAAGGCTATTTTCCATATTTTTTTGCTTATAGGGCAGTTGAGAGTGAAGTGTTCTGGTGATTGTATTATATTGGGGCAGTTTGGGCATTTGCCTGAGTCACCTGAATTCATGTGAACAAGTCTGTAACCCAGGGGGAGAGCCTTGTGCTGAAGGCACCAGTAAATATTTTTTTGTAGTTGAGGGCAAATTTGTTACTCATCCATTTCCAGCTGTTTTTCCATGATTCATTAATAAGTTGACTCCAATTTGTGATATTACTAAGTACCTCTTCCTTAAAGAACCTGACAGTATTCTTAACTGAGAATTTACTAGCTGTTATATTTGCAATAATAATAGTGTTTTTGTCCTATGGCTAGCTTCCTACATTATCTTCTATTTTAGCCTTGGCACATTTTCATGCCATTACATATGATCTCTATTGTTCTAGCCAACCTTTTGTTTTAACCAGACTTGTATTTAGAGCTACTTTAACTTCAATGCTTCTTTTATTATATATGCTCCTTTCAATTATTGGTCTTTTAATTTTGGCCCATAGGTTATTCTCAGTCAGAAGTTTTATCCAAATATGTAGTAAACATGTGTCAATCAAATCAGGTAAAGTCGAGACATCTAGTCCACCTTGTGACTATGGAAGTTGAAAAATAGAAAACCTTAGCAGTAGCTTTGATTTAGCTCTAATACATTTTTCTAACATTTTGCTGATCGTGATAAGTTGTTTTTGTGTTGGTAGTGCTAGATATGCTACATACTATATTTTAGAAATAACTAAAGATTTTACTAAAAGAATTTTCTCTTCTAATGAAAGGTTACGTGTAGCTAGCTTTTGAATTTGACCTTCTAGCTTATACATTGTATCTTGCCAGAAGTGTCTGTTGATTGAGCCTTGTAGTGTTATTTTATAGCCTAAAACTATGATAGGTTTATTTTCTTCTAGTATCTGGAACTCATTACTACCCTTAAGTTCAATATGTTTGGCATTGTTTGTTAAGAGCATCAGAATCAACTTCTTTGTGTTAATTCTAGCCATTAGCCTGATAGAATTTCTGAAATGACGTAGTGCATGACTCCATAAAAATCACCTGATATATTTTCATCATTCTTTTGACAATACCATAAGTATTCATTGATTTCTGCATTTTGAGTCATCCCATATATTACAAGCTTATTACCTTGTAAATTGCATTTCATATGGTTGTTAAGTTTAATATTTATAGTTATCAAAAGGAATCTATTTAATCATTTCCTTATACGAAATAGCTAGTTGAAAGTCTTTCAGATACTGTAGTCATCAATACCCTTATTTCTACTTGTCCATCCGTAGATTATCTTGTTGGGATCACATATTTGATATCATGCATTATTTGTGTTATTTCCATTACAATATTCACAATTTCCATATTTAATAGAGAGAAAGATAAGAGGAGTAATAAGAGGGAGAGGAGGAGTAAGGATTAGGTAGAGAAAGAATCTTTTGCAATCTAATTAACAAATTTATCACTATCATAATTCACACCAATGCCATATTAGTAACTAGGGATGGGTTCGGTCGGCTTGTAGTCGGCTAGCTAACCGACTATAGTCGTAGTCGATAATAGTCGACTATAGCGGCTTAGCCAACCAGCTAGCTGGACACATGATAGTGGGCCAATTAAATATCATGTTTACGAGATCTTTCATATTTTCGGGCTGATCTGTGTCTATCTGTTTATGTTTTTAAATATCATGTTTTGGGATCTTCCGCATTTTCGGGCTGATCCGTGT